CCGAAACTATAAGAGATAGAAAGTTCTCTTTTTTTTTTAATTAAATGGTTTCAAAAGTACTACAAAACGGCGAAAGAAAAAATTTTAATTTTTTTAAATTTTGCAACACCCCCCCACCCACACAATTTTTTAAAACTTTTTTCGCCGTTTTGTAGTACTTTTGAAACCATTTAATTAAAAAAAAAAGAGAACTTTCTATCTCTTATAGTTTCGGAGATATTCGCATCGAAAGAGAAAAACCGATTTTTTTCACAGGGGTGTTCCACCCCCTAAAAGCGCGTAAGAGCACGTATAAAAAAATATGTGTCTCTTAGTTTTAGCTGGAAAACAACATATTCAAAGCTCATCCAAATCGGAGGAGGACACTTTGAAACGGTCCCTTGTTAGTAATTCAAGATATTAAAGTTAATCTGTCTCACATAGATTTATAGACTATATTTTAACTCTTCTTTCTCTCTTTATTAGTTTCCTTTACTAGTTATGTATTAAATAAATTACACAAAAATATATTAAAATAATTTATTTCCAGACCAAGATTGTGAAAGTTCTTCCGATACACAGAGGACAACAGATACACATGATATAATGCAAACGACACAAATGACACAGCATGGACAATCTCAGACAACTGATATTACTTCTGATTCAGAAAGTGGAATCGCAAATATACAAGATAATATTACTATTTAGCACTTCAAGCTGCTTCAAAATATGCAATTAAAATTAATCTTTCTCTTCTAGATTTATAGACTATATTTTTTACTCTTCTTCTTCTCTTTTATTTTTACAGACGATGAATCAATATATGAAGTTCCAGAAGACGATTACGGATATTTGCATTCATCTACAAATGAGAGCAATGCCTATACAGAAGATCTTCCATTTCATACTGTACACTGGATGCTGCAGTATAGTCCAAGTACATCCAAGGAAGAATCATCCTTAAATATTTGTACGGTGTGTTACAGTAACGAACGAACACACGTTTTCCTACCTTGCAGTCACCTCGCTTGTTGTATCGAATGCATTATACGTTTAGAAACTAATCGTTGTCCGATATGTAATGAAACATATGAAAACTATGTTCGAGTTATAAGATCATAAAGTCTGCTCCAAACAATATTTCTTCGTAAAAACAGAAGGCTCTCTAAAAGTTTTCGATATAAAAAATGCAGTATTACTTGATAAGATAAAATTATTTTGTGTTAGAATTAAAGTGATACTTGTGCAATATGTATTTCTTTTTCAAAAGTTAGTTTAAATATCCTCATATGTAATTTGATTACGTCCTTGCTTGCAAAATTAGGAATTGTGTCAAAATGAGATAAACACGTATTTGTAAAACACGTATAAATATTTATAGAGATTATATAAAGATAAAAATGATAAAAAGCATACAACTATGTTACTAGCATTTATTGTTACTGCTACAATAACTGTCATTATAAAATAATGCATATTTGTTTTATCCAATTATATCTAAGTTTTCATTTCACAAATTTTCATTTCTCCAGTTTATTTCTTAAGGTAAATATTATCTTTTAAAAGTTGTTTGATCATACAAATTGAAGTTACAGTTATCTAAGTTTTTTAAAGTCAAGACAGTTTTCTTTAACCAATATATATGTAGATAATTCGTTATTATATAGAGATTATATGGAGATTATATAGAGATTTTATTTTGTACAAATGTACGTAATGCCAAAGATCGATTACTTCTCTTTATAATATTGTCATAAATAGTGTGTTAGGTATTGCGATTAGAAAAAATTATATGAGACACTAAGATTATAAAAATACAAAATATTATTTTTATATCAGACAATAAATCACACAAGGTAATAACTTAACACAAGTG